AGTTGAGGATTTAATTGTTAGGTTGAGTGGGTCGAAATATTTTTCAAAAATTGATCTGTCTCAAGCCTATAATCAGATAGAGCTAGACGATACTAAAAAGTTAACCGTAGTTAATACGCACCGCGGCTTATTTCAGTATAATAGGTTAGTGTACGGGCTAGCATCGAGTGCTGGAATATTTCAACGTATTATGTATAATTTGTTAAAGGACATCCCCAATGTCGAAGTATTTTTAGACGACGTCATAATCGGCGGGAAAAATGTGTTCGACCACCTTCAAGCCGTAGAAGCTGTCTTTAGCAGGTTACATAAGAACGGATTGAAATTAAAAAATCATAAATGTATATTTTTTTGTAAACGAAGTGCAGTTTTTAGGGTATGTACTTAGTAAAGACGGAGTAAAAACAGACCCGAAAAAGATAGAAGCAATTGCTAAGCTACCTAGGCCTAGTAACGTGACCGAGGTACGGTCTTTTTTGGGTTTAGTAAATTTCTACGCAAAATTTATTAAAAACATGAGTAGTAGGCTCGTACCATTATACCAATTACTGAAAAACGGTCAAAATTGGTTTTGGTCGAAGGAATGTGAGCGCGCGTTTGTTGAAGTCAAAAATGTATTAATCAGCGCGGAAGTATTAGCTCACTACGACCCCCAGCGGCCGGTTATAGTAACGTGCGACGCGAGCGCCAGAGGGATAGGGGCCGTGTTGTCGCAGCCGAGCGTCACGCACGCTTAACGACGCCGAGAAAAACTACTCGCAGATACATCGCGAGGCATTAGCGATTATATTTGCCGTAAATAAATTCCATCAATATTTGTACGGTCGGCATTTTACTCTGCGCACCGATCACAAGCCGCTAGTGTCCATTTTTGGACCGAACACAGGTATACCAACTATGGTAGCGAGTCGGATGCAACGGTGGGCAATTATTTTATCCGCTTATTCGTTTGATATTGAGTACATACGTACCGATGTGAATGGAGCGGACGGCCTGTCGCGTCTGCCGCTGTCGTCTAGTAAGATGACTCATGCGGCGCCCGAGCAAACGTATTTGCATTTCGTTCAGCAGTCGTTGTTGTTAGATTATAATAAAGTTAAAAAATGAAACCGCTCGGGATCCAATTCTCTCGAAGGTTATTAGCTATATTCGGGATGGTTGGCCAGGGGAATGTAATATTAAGGGTTTACAACCGTTTTTTAATCGAAAGAATGAATTATATGAGGAACTAGGCTGTGTGATGTGGGGGCATAGACTAGTTGTTCCGGAGGCCTATAAGGAAAAAGTTTTATGTATGATTCACGAACCTCATATGGGCATTGTCAAATCCAAGGCTATAGCTCGAAGCTATGTTTGGTGGGCCGGGGTGGACGAGGCGGTGGAGCGGATATGCCGGGAGTGCGAGATATGCGCGGCGCAAGCGGATGCTCCGCCAAAACAGACGCCTCGTATGTGGCAATGGCCCAATCGTCCTTGGTCAAGGATACATTTAGATTTTATGGGGCCCGTTTTTGGAAAAACGTACTTGGTAGGGGTCGATGCGATGTCAAAATGGCTAGAAATCTATCAAGTAGCGAGTACGGCAGCCACGGGGGGTAATAGATAAGTTAAGGGAACTTTTCAGTCGTTGGGGACTACCCAAACAAATCGTGACGGACAACGGTCCCCCGTTCTCAAGTATAGAATTCAATAACTTCATGTGCAGTCACGGTATCGATCATATTTTCACGGCTCCGTATCACCCTGCTTCGAACGGTTTAGCTGAAAACGCGGTAAAAACCTTGAAGCGGGTTATAAAGAAAGCGGTGCAGGAAAAACAGAACGTAGACAGGGCACTACAAACTTTTTTGCTATATTATAGGAATACGGAGCATTCAACCACCGGCGAGAGTCCCGCTATGTTATTGTTAGGTAGACGACTGCGCACTAAGTTAGATATTTTAAAACCAGACAGGGAAAACAGGATTTATAAGGTGCAACGACACCAGAAAGACTTAGCCAAAGGAGGAGACAGGAAACTGAATCCTTCGGAAGATGTTTGGTATAGACAATACTTGAAAGGGGAAAAGTGGGGCAGTGGTCAAGTAGTAGACGTTAGGGGTCCTAATAGCTATACAATTAAGGGAAAAGGTGGCGAAATAATTCACAGACATATAGACCAATTAAAAAGGAGATCTTTAAGGGCATCTATGACATGTCCTTACAATGATCCTCAGCCAGGTTGCAGCACAAATTCAACCAACGAGCCGACGGTGACACCAGAGGTGGGAAAGGCTCAGCCGGGTCCGTCGGCGGATCGGGATGAGCGGGGGGGTGGTAGAAACCTCAGAGGCTGAAATCGGCTTAAAGGAGTCGGCAAGGGAGACGACCAGTGAGAACCCGGGTTCACAGGCGTATCAGGATACCTTGCCAAACGTTGTACCGCCCACAAAGCCTCGGAGTCGCCCTATAAGGCAATGTAGACTCAAAAACCTTAATATTGTTTAAGCGCTGATACAATAATGTTAAGTAATTAAGTTATATTTAAGATTAGCATAATAATAAATAAGTGTAGAGGAGTGTAATGTAGGGTAGTAGGTTAAGACTGAATATATAGGTGGCGGGTAAATTAAGATAATACATGGAATTCAGTATGGAATAAACTGTTATAGATTGCGTTACGTTCTTTGTGTTCTCTCCGGCTTTTATATACATCACATATATATATATCGATATAAAATGATAAAAATAATATATAAATATAAACTCGTAGATAAATAATATAAGTAAGCAAAAACGAACTAGTTCTTCTTCACCAACAAGCGTTACCAGAAGATCGATCGATCAAAAACGCAACTAAACTATCAGTAGTACATAGTTACACTTCATACGTACAAAGTTGCTGCAAAAAGTAGTATAGGCTAATAATATTACAAACAGTAGCACAAATCGATATTACAAACAAATAGAAAAATTAACTGTAGGTCTTAAAAGTAAACAAATTAATTTTATTGAAAAATTTTGTAAGCCAATAAGTTAATGTAAAACTTTGAGTATGAGTTGGCTCTATGGTCATTCGATCTTTGCCTATATTGATATCAACAAGATTTACTTTGACAGACTTACGTCAATGTCGAAATTAATAATTTTACCCTTTTTACATTTTTATCAAACAATTGAAATCATTTTAACTTAAAACTATAATTTGTAATAATTTTGAAGTATCAGTAGAACGCAGTAAACAAATGCATATACTGAAGTAATGATCCGACTTAAAGTACCTATGCTAATGAACCAAACACTTTAATAAACGATTACAGAGAAATATTTATCTATCCAAAGTACCTAGCATTAGTAGTAAATATAGTAAACTAGTTTAAATATACTAAAGTACTTAGCTTAAATATCAAAAATAATCAAGTGAACAAGGGCAATCATTTTGCAGTGTATTGGTACAACAAAGTAAATGCAGTTATAACCATTACCCATGTTATTGAATAGTTGTATGCTGAAGTAATAACACAACTTGAAGTACCTATATTAATGAATAGAATACTTGAGTGGAAACTATGGCAAATGTCGGCCTTATAAAGCAATCTGGGGTAACGGTACGGTTTGTTAAGATATCCGTTACCTATGCCTTCTTAAATAAATATTGAAATAAAAATAAAAATTGTAAACATGTGTGCACTAAGTGAGTGTTGCCGTGCAGTAAACACTTATTACCCTAATATATTATTGTTTAAGTACTATCTGGATGAATGGATTAGTAAAATGATAAGTTAGCAATTTTTTAAATTTTATACCTACTTTATCCCTTTCAGAACGACAAAAAATAATCCCGTTTCTCAAAAATTTTACATTGAATTCTAGATATACAATGGGTATAGTATTTAGAAAAAATAATAGAAAAAAATTCCCCCTCTTTAAATTTCGCTGTAGCTCCGCACGTACGTGCGCTCTTGTTTTTAAGTGTGATAACGCACGATCGTGCATAGGGAATAAAACTGTAAAAAATGTTTCCTAATATATTTATTTAATTATTATTAAAGAAAGTATTACTTTTAATAACACAGTATTTTAATATTAACTTCTATTTCAACGAATTTTTGGTATTTTTACACATAAATTACTGCTTAGTCTACATAAATCAGTATCTTTTATATAACGAAAAAAAAAAACAAAATCATATTAATTATTATCTTAAGTACTGTTATCGTCAAAATAAAAAGTCATTCTAGACAACAAAAAATCAATACTTAAATGGTAGTATAGTAAATAAAACCGAACTGCACTAAATTAACCCGTCACTTATTGTAACGATGTAATTTTTTAATCCGAGTGGTCTCGGTTTATTCTTTACTAATGATCTCGCAATTTACATTTCCCTGTGTAAGGTATAATATATTCATCGATTGAGTATTCACCTGCCATCCGTTTGAGAGACAAGCAAGCCTTCTTAACAGCGTCGAGAACGGGCTGTACCTTCCACAGCGGATTTGAATTTCCTGAAGGTGGTTCATCTGTGGGTATTACGTGCATGTTATTCCATAATAAGAAATAATGATCTTCTGGCATTTGACTAGTGATTAATTCCAGGTGCATACCTGTACGCTAGTACATAATATTAATTCGTGGGTATGGTATACAGCGCATAAATAAAAGTATACCAAATAATTTGCACATCTCTTGAGAAGTTGTGCACACGACTGACCCAGTTTTACGCAGGTAGTACAAAATTGTGCATTGTGCAGTATTTTTGAAAAAATCTTCATTGAAATATGTAGAAAGATATTGCAGCGGAGTTTTAGTTTCAGAAGGTTCCGGTCGATAACGAAAATTATGCTCGACATCAGTAAAAGTAACAGCTTTCCAGATTCTAGGTCTCTTTTGTGCCTGACGACAATTAGGCATTTCGAGGTGGCAGGAGTTTGCAGGTGGGGGAAAGTTCTCCCGATTTATATACTGCAGCTATGTCAAATTCATATTTTGATATGAGTCACTGTCGCTGTTATGGTTACCTGGTGAAATCTCTGGGGGTATATCACCTTCATCATCTAGTAGTCGAGGCACATTGACAGCCGATTCTGTCTCCTTATCCGATATGTCCAGGTCTGATTGACACCCATCTCCAAGCACATTTTGTAACAACTCGTAGTTTAGAGGTTGTTCTGAGAAAAAAAATGCGACGTTATTTGTATGAACATTTAACTAACGGAAAACAATTAAAAACGACAACGCACGATTGTGCGTTTAAATTTCGCGGGCCGGTTACGACAGTTAAAACTTATAAATTTACTAGGATTATTTAATATTAATGAACGTAAATATCAACATTAGTTATTTTGAGATGAAAAATAATAAATATGATAAGTAATAATGAAAAATAATTTACTCACGTCGACCGTCGCGATCCACAAAGTGAACGTCCCTGTCACGACACGCCACTAATATGGTCTACTCCCACGCAACTCTCCGCATTATAAATCGAATCGCGCTGAAAGCACGGAAACGACTTCGATCGTTTGTCGATCGAAGTCGTTTCCGTGTGGTAAAATAAAATTCAGTAATCAGTACCTTATTTTTTAAACATCAACGCACGATTATTACAAGCCGTTCTGAAAGGGTTAAGTAGCACGTATGTATGTATGTAAGTAGGGGAAAAATAAAACAATAGTAATATGAAAGTAACAATGTTTTTATTTTAATAGCCTTTTTTGTTGGGTCATTTTTTTAAATATTGCCGTTTACCGTCCACCGTTTTGGAAATTGTTTCCAATTTAGAAAAATGGTGGACATCTTATTAAGCTTATTTTATGCTCTTGGCCAGCATAATTGTGCTCAGTCTTCAATTTAGAGAAAACGTTGTCAGTACCAATAAATTATTTCATTTCATACATAATTTACGCACAATAGTTTCACAAATTACGCAAATTTCAAAAAGGTCTTTCGACGGAAAGATTAAGCCATCTTTAAATATATCAGTTTATGGAAGTCAAATATCTCATATAATATTATCATAAACGACATTTTTAATTTTATTATTATATAATAATGAATATAATATTATAGAAACATTGGAAATAACCTTTTAATATTCGTTTCGTACCACACGACGAAGTCCTTTGATTGTGTAATAAAAATCGTCATCTTCAAAATGTGTCGAACAAACTACGCTGCGCACCGTTAGATTCCACGATGGCTCATTCCGGCTAACTCGAATCACTTCTATCCACTTCCCTTTAATGTCTTTATTTCGGATGGGAAACCTTAAAAAATATAGATTTTTGAAGTGATGATAAAACATGGAAAAACAAAAAAAGTAATGCCTATTTACACTTACATTAATTTGATGAATATTAACCCATATATGCCCAGAACTGTTTTTGAATTCTGATTTTGATTATTTCAAGATATGTTTATACTGATAAGTCCTTATATCAGTATTGACTAATTTTAGTAAAAAATATTTTTGGTAAGTAGGTATTTTAGGGGTGTTCGAAAACGAAACAATGGGCAAATATCCTACATTCGTTATAGGTAATTAAAACAAAGATGTATAATGAGATTATTTATTACTTATTACTATTTTTACACCAAATTGCAATATAAAATTAAGAATGAAATACGGAGAAACATTTAGAATGTAAATTTACTTTACATTTTTGACAAAAAGTGACTGTAAGGCTTTTGCAATAGGCACATCGCAGTCTACTTGGTGCCCTGCCGATCATGTGCTCAGCGTTATGCTTTCGTACTGATGTAGGTACATTTGTAGATACCCGTTTGCTAGGTCCCGGATGCTGCTTATCATTGCCATATTTTTGAAGTAAGGTTCTGACAATGCTACGTCTAAATTCCAGCGTATCTATATCTTTGGAGAAATTACGAGCTAGTAGGGTAGCATTGTTGACCGCAACGTCTATCAACCAGAAAAGTAACGGGATATACCACTTTTTGCCCCTAATTGCTATTCGATAGGTACCAATGTTTGCATCTAACCGAGCAACCCCTCCCATAAAATGATTGTATTGGTGCACAATGTTGGGTTGTGTTACATTTACTCTTTGCTTTTGAGCAGCTGAGTATCTCCTTGCAGTATGTATAGGCTCCACGCCGTATTCACTGGATAACAGAGTAACTACACTATTATCGTTCCAGCGCACTGCACAGATGCCGCTGTTTAGATCGAGCCGGCTGTCATGGTAACCTCGCTGTTCCTTCTTGCATAATTTTTCATCTTTCAAAGGACACTTGTCAGTGCGATTACTACGTACTGTACCTGTCACTAAAATATTTTTTTCTTTCATTGCCGTTATTAACGGTAATCCTGTGAAGAAGTTGTCGCAGAAAACTGAGAATCTTGTTTCTTTGTAGACATTCTGAATCTCGGTCATCAATTTTTGCACAACATATTGTCCTAACCCGGTACTAAAAGTTTCATAGCGGCCTTGATATGGGTCGGCGTATAAGCAATATCCTAAGGGCAAGGCTGCAATCCATGTTTTGAAGCCAAATCTAATAGGCTTACCTCTGATATGCTGCTTACATCCGTGTCTACCATAGTAAGGTATCATAGACTCTTCTATGCTGATGTTCTTTTCGATTACGGCATATTGCAGAAACTTTTTATTGAGTAAATCAAAAAGTGGGCGGACTTTAGCCATTCTGTCATTAGGGCAAAGGTTGGTATTATCGACCACATGGAAATGCCGAAGAATTTCTTCGAATCGGTTTCTTCGCATGGATTTCGCCACTAAGATATTGTGTGTGTCTTCGTTACTTTCCCAATACATCCGACGTCGCGGCAGTGGAGAATATCCGGTCAATATCAAAATGCCGATGAAACAATAAATGTCATTATCAGAGAGGGTAAAACCATGGGTTTCTTTTTTTGAACTGCATAAATAACAGAGTGACGAACAATGTGCATGATAACTTCGTGACTAAAAAACAATTCAAAGAAATCAACTGGTTCTGAAGTTTCGGATAAGGTAATTACTGATCCAGGTAATGGTGCAATCCACTCATCATGAAGTTGGGATAAGTCTCGTTTTCCCCATTTTCGGACTACCTCAGGCGATTGAGGTGGCGGTGGAGGTGGAAAAGGAGGATTATCTATCAATGACCGGCTCCGTCTACGATTTGATAAAGACTGTGAGTCAGTCACAGTACGTGACGTAATTGGGCCTAAAGCTTCTTCTTCAGACTCGCTGCCGTCACTGACATTTTTTCCATGTAGTGTCAGTTCAACAGGTGCCAAAAGTTGACGACGTGATAAATTTTCAAAACTTACGTTTCTTTCGTCGCCCGCGTCCGAATCTGATACAGGTCCATCACCCGGAGGGGTCGATATAAATATCAGCTGCTGTTGCTTCATCATCCGAAGCTAAATCATTGATAATATCAACGATTTCGTTTGTAGTTAACCACGTATTCCACCTAAAACATAAAAACAGATTTAGTAAAAGTCTCACCTGTATATTTAGTTACATACTGTATATAGCCCAACGTATCGTTTTCGAAACACGAAAGTTATAAAGACGTTATAGGTATTTATTAAATAGTATTTACTTATTTTAAAAATACGAATAAGATCATTATTTACCTAAAATTACTACAAAATTTTGAAAAGTACAAAGTTTCACTCAATTGAACAAGTACTTACTTCTTTTTTGGGAGACGACATGATTTTTGCGCGACGTAAAACAGGACACAACTTGCACTACTGACTATTTAAATCAAGTGTCAACGCTACTCAAAACGCTTCATTGCAAACAAAAGGTAGTTCCGTAGCCTTGCACGAGATGGCAATTTTTTGCATTTTACTGCGCTAGCAAAGGATTTCCAATGGATTTACGAAAGTACAAAATCTTGTTTCGTTTTCGAATCACGGGGCATATATGGGTTAAAAGTAAAATAGAAATAGGTAAATGAACGTGTTACATTAAGTTTCGCGTCACATTAATAACTCACTGAATAAATGGGGACTAGAGTGACGCTTACTAGTGGCAACAATTGTGGAGATTTTATGTTCCAAGCTGCCATAACAAATAATAAAAATGATTTATTAAAAATTTGGATTTTTATGTTTACTTACGTATGAAATGTGATTCCATCTTGTTTTTACTTCTGGAAGATTGGTTTTTAAACCCTTTTACAACACAATCCGGCATATTTTCTTTAAAAATTGCAAATTATTATAGAGTGACACTCCGTAAGTTAAGGCGTAGTTTCGTTATATGTGTGTGCGTGAAACTGTGTATGTACAAGGCGAGGCGTAGTTTTACCGGCCTCAGTGCGTTGTTCGGCGGGGCTCTGTCTTGAGTTTTTATTTCGTCTGAACTCCACACTAGGATAGGACAAACATAAATTTCACAAGGACAAACATCCAGACCCGGAACAATTACTTATAGGCCATACAAATACTTGTTCCGTGCGGGATTCGAACCCGCGGCCCTCAGCGCTGTAACTCATTGCTGAGCCATCAAAACTTTCTTTATTATTTTAGGGCAAGGGAATGTGCGTCGTGCACACAATACGTGTTGGCAGACGTTACATGTCTGTGAAATATTTTTTTTAGTTTCTCAGACATTCCTCATTAAGTTTTCCTTCTCCGCCGAGCATGTGGTAAATTGGTACTTAAAACGGCAATTAACAATGTCATTGGTACCGGCGGAGATCAAACACGGGTCACTCCGGTACTATGAAATATGTGGCAAGCGTTTAGCCCCTGAGGCACCACATCTTTTAATGGCTGTAATAATGATGATGAAAACAGATATTATAATAAAAACGTATTAGTAAGCTGAAGTGGCAATAGACTGGCCTTATAACTCAAAGAACCAAAAACCGATGGGACAGTAAAGTTTTCGAAGGAGAAGTGTATGGCGGTCTCCCATTAGGGTGCAGTGACAACCTGGTAAGACATATACGAATTCTATGGATGCAGGTCCCTCAGTACCGTGCTTTATGACATACTTTGGAGGAGGCTTATGCTCAGAAGTGGATTTGTGAAGACTGTAATGATGATGATGATGATGATATATTAAAGCGAACTTTTATTTTTATACTTTCTATTCCTGCCAACTTCCCGCCCATAAAAATAAATTAAAATACTTTTTGA